GCTGGGCAGCGCTGGCAGCCCGGCCGGCAGTGACCGTGAACCCCCACCCCGCCGACTGCGCATCCCCCGAACAAGCCTGCCGCCCCCTGCGGCCTCGGCGAGGGCTCGTCCGCCCCTCTCGCACCCACACAGTGCGAGAGAGGCGGACCGCCCCTCTCGCAACCAAGGCCCAGCGGTCCGGATGGCGAAACGAGACGACGGTTGGATCATTCGATTCTGGCCATTCCGTCGGCCGTAGACGCCACGCCGCGCCACGCCACTGGCCGCGCGTGCGCCGGACTGGTTGAGGCGTAAGCCACGTCTAATTGCGTCTAATGAATGCACTTCCCACGCCGCGGAGCCGCGGAGCCGCGGAGCCGCGGTCCCTCCGAGTCGAAGGCCCGATGGGAAGCCCATCAGAGGGAAAGCACGCGGCGGTAGCGCGCTCCGTATATTAATTCGAGCCGACAAAACAAAGAGTGACGTTGCCCCGTGTGGGCGCGCCGGCTGGGTAATCCAGATCTCAGGAAGAGTTAGCCGCTCGGCCGCGCGGCCCCGCGGGTTTGGTCGGCCTATGCTTTATGGCGCCATCGATCCGGGCCGCCTAGGGGGTCCGCAGTAAATAACCTCCACGCAATTTCCCCGCGTGTTGCAGTGTGTTGCCGTCCCCGGCAGTCCGCCGCTTTTGTTTACGGCTGGCCCCCGAGTCGCCCAACGATGAGGAATCGGTGGCGCGGGAGTTGGTGCGCCTGCGCGATGTTCTCGTCTACGGCCGGTCGCCATTGAAGAGAAATTCGGAGTTGGTACGCCTGCGCGAGGTTTTCGTCTACGGCCGGCCGCTATGAGAAATTAGGAGTTGGTACGCCTGCGCGAGGTTTACGTCTATGGCCGGTCGCCATTGATGAGATGGCGTTGGCGCGCGTGCCGCGGCGACTCTACCGCGCCGCGCGTCGCGGTCGCGGCGCTCTGGGACACCTGGAAGGGGAGCACGGAGTGTGGCCGCCGCGGTAACGGGACGACACCATAAAGCTAACGGCGTTAGAGTTGGCCATACTGTGCATGCTGGGCTGCGGCCATGGGCAGGGTCCACTGGCTGGGTCCACTGGCGGGGGCCGTAGGCTGAGCCCACAGTCTGAGCCGGCTGTCCGAAGGTGTCTGGACGGGTCTTTAATAAGGCTGGATCGGAGAGGGATTTGCCTCTTGTCAATCCGAGATGCTCCTCTTCCCATTGTCCTGGTCCACCGTGCCGCGTCGTTGTTTTCTTTTTCTGGCATGGCTTCTTCCTGGTTCGTTGGTTCGTCTTCCTTCGCGAGGTTCTGTCCCACCGCTCCGATGTGCCGTCGCCGTCGACGTCATCGAGCACTGTCGTCTCATTTTCGCAGGGCGTCTCTCTTCCTCCTCGCTCCATTTATTCATTTCGCCCATTCCCCGGCCGTTCCGGATGGCGGGGCGGGGCGGGGCGGGGCGGGGCGGCGATATCGGTCAGCGCGGTGCTCGTGGCGGCGCGGGGCTGCCGTTGACGAACCGTTTGGTGGCGGGCGGCGCCCCGCTGCGCTGTTGAGCTGGGCCATTGGCACTTGTCGTATCGGGTTAGGTGGGTAGGCCGCGCCGCCGCGTCCCGCCCCGCCGCGTCCCGCCCCGCCCCGCCCCGCCCCGCCCCGCCCCGCCCCGCCCCGCCCCGCCCCGCCCCGCCACGCCCCGCCCCGCCCCGCCCCGCCCCGCCACGCCCCGCCCCGCCCCGCCCCGCCCCGCCCCGCCACGCCCCCCTTTGCCCGTGACCCAGTTATCCTCCGCAGGATGGGCCACGCGCACCGGGGCCTGCATCCTGGAAACTTGTCGCGGAGCGCAGCGCTAAACGTCCTCGCCACGAGGAGAGAAAAAAAATCTCGGTCGGGACTCGAACCCGCGCCGCGCGCGAGTGACACGGAGTGCACGGCGCGGCGCTGCGAACGTCTTCTCGCTCGAAAGGGCGTTCGCCGACCTTTGCAAGTGCAAACGTTGCGGTGATGCAAAAGGGCAGCGGGGGACGTCGCCGACGACGACGCCGGAGCGGATTTTAATTAATTTCTGTGCGGCGGCCGCGGCACCAGTCTTGATTAAAATTTATTTCGTACCTTTAGAGAGAACGGGAGCGCAGTGAGCTAAGCTAGGCCGCCGTTGCCAAGAAAGAAAGCCGGCTTGCAGTGTGCACGCGGCTCGGCGCGGACGGTGCTCTGCTCACGTACGGCGCGGGGCCCCACCTGAAAAAAGGCGCGCGCACGCCTGCCGATCGAAACGTGATTACCAGTGTTGCGCAAATCTAGGACGACGTGTTGGTAACAGATGTGCCTGCAAGGTCCTCCGCTCACTTTGGGTTATGTGAAACATATTCCTCGAGAAAGTCCTTCTGTTCGAAAATGGATTGGAACAAAATTTCTCCTCTTGGACGGTGGAGAATTAGATTCCACGGGAAGAACGAGAAAAATGTCCTCCAGAATGCGAAAAGCAGGAGCACCTCGACGAGCACTGCGCCGCTCTACTCTGATTGCACTTCCCGACTCCATCAGCAGCAGCCCGACTGCAGCAGCCTCGGCTCCAAATTGCGACACAGGCACTGCAGATAGCGATGCCGCGCTGTCGCTCTGTCTCTCTCGCACCCTTACGGGGCGCCCCGTGAGTGCGAGAGAGACGAGAGCTCCGGTCGGAATCGAGTCTATGCTGCGCTGGTCGATGGAATGCCTTCGCAAGCGTTATTCGAGATTCGTTTACATGACGAATCCTGTCTCGCGAAAGAGCGGATGAGCAATGGTTCAGTGTACAGTCTCGCCGTAGGGTTCGGGTACATTCCGAGTGCAGCACGATTAGGACATTTTTCGAAGGGTCGTCCACCGCCACTCCCTGGCAGTCCCTGCAACGCAACAAATGCCCCTCGCGACTCCCCGTCGGCCTGCCGGTGCTTCCTCGCTTCCTTGTTCAAAGTTTGTGAACTTTGCTGAAATTTGCTCCCCTCTGCCGGGTGGCCGCGCCGCTCTAATGATGAGAGATTGATAGAAAGTTTGAGGAACGCCCCCCCGCCGTCCCCGCGCTCGGGAAGCAGGTTATATCGAGTTCACTGGACTGGAAAATGCACAATGAAAAGTCGGAGGGTCGAGTGGGTAGCCGGGGTCGTGGGTGTCTTTGAACCTCCGCCACGTTTGCACCACATCGGTGGCCTCGACGGCCTCCCTCACGAGTAGAGGAAGGGTGCAGCAGCGTGAACCTTCGTTTTGCTTCACCGGCGGTTGCAGTCTTCATTTTAGCAGCAGACCAGCGCGTTTTCAGCAAAAGCCATTTCCCCCTCTTCGTCCTTTTATTTTTTTAAAACTTTCTTTCATTTCCGCTGCACTCGCTTCCTTCGCTCTCCATTTGACTTGCGGTTCGTCTCTCCTTTTCTATTCCGCTTTAATTCCCGCGGTTTGCACTCCGTGACCCTGTTGTTTTCCGCGGTAGTACGGCGGCGGGCCGTGGCGGGCCGTGGCGGGCCGTGGCGGGCCGTGGCGGGCCCTCGAGTCGGAGGGGCCCAGCCGTATGGGCCCGTATGGTTCCCTCATTACTCCGAGCATCCTTCGGGACCCTAGAGTCCTTGAGTCCTTGTCCCGGTGCTAATGATCCCGGTGTAGTTGGCTCTATGCCCCGGGCGCTGCGAGCGGCGAGCGCGGCGAGCGCGGCGAGCGCACGGCGAGGTTTGACGAGAGCGGCGCGAGCGCAGCGAACCCTTTCACTTTGCGCGGAGACTTCAACGCATCGCCCGGAAACTCACAAGTGCTCTACAAACTCGACACGCCCGAACACAGAGCGGCGAAGTACTACACCACTACACCGGCAGTGCGTACTCCCCGTGGACGGGGCGTGGCCTCCGCGGCGAGCGCGGCGTGCGGGGGGACGAGAAAACCGCCGGCGACTCATTCAAGGCGAAGGCCCCCTGCAGGAAGGTCAAGAGTGCGTTGACAAAAGGAGCACTCCTCGTTTCGTTCTGCCGCTGGAGCGGCTGGAGCGGCTGGAGCGCACGGTGTGGCCGGTAGTGGCCGGTGGGGGGTGACGTCACCTGGCCGCCTCACCCTCTGGAACTCTGGAATGGGGCACCTGTAGGTGTGGACACCATTGAGCGCTGGGGGTGGGGGTGGGGGCGGCGGGGGAGGCGTGGCGACCAACAACAACAACCCAAACACGTCGCGCGCCGCACCCGCTGCTACTGCCTCCGCAGTCTCCGCCGCCGCGCGCCGCTCAGCCGCTCAGAGCCGGCTTGTCGCGGAGCGGAGCGAGCGGGGTTCCTGCAGCACGCGCTCCGGCACTGAGAAATTCCCTGCCCCCTCCCCCTCCACCTGTGCGGCCATGCGGCCATGCTGCTGCTGCCCTGCCGGTGCCCTGCCGGTGCGGCTCGCCGGGCGGGACCGCTGGGACTGGGACCCCACCGGCCGACTGGGCCTCTCTGCTGGCTCGGCTCGGCTCTCCTGAGAGGCCCGGCCTCTCTGCGGAGCCACATTTCCGACGATTGTTGGGCCGAGTCGAGCCGAGCCCTGTCGCTGCGGGCCGAGCCGAGCCGAGCCGAGCGGGCGTGCTGCGCGGTGCTGCGCCGACGAGGTGGCCGGCCCTTGCTCGCTGGAGCCCCGGGCCGAGCGGCCAGCTCTCCGGCCGCCGCTTCGCCTCGCCGCCTCGCTGCGCCGCGCTGCGCCCGGGCCAGCTGGCCGGCCGCTCAACGAAGAGGCTGTGTCTCGAGCGGCCAGCTCGCCACGCCGGCGGGGAGCGCTAGCGTTGGGCTGGGGTCCCAGCCGCCCAGCCGCCGCGCGCCGCGCCGCAGTCGTGAGCCTCGCCGCGCTGCCGCCGCCGCCGCGCTCAGGTATCCGTGCCGCGCCGAGCCGCAGCGTGACGAGCGGAGCACGCCGTGCAGACCGAGACCGGGCGCGCCACGCGCCGCGCGCCGAGCCGGAGCCAAGTCGCGGTGCTTTGGGCTGCTTGGCCTGCTTGCTTCGCTTGCCGTGTTGCTGCAGCAGCAGTGTTCGCCCGAAGCCCGGCTCGACAGGCTTGCCCGGACGCCGTGCCGCGCACCGACCGCGCCAGGATCGCGTCGAAGCGAGTAAGGCCTCCGCCAGCCTCCGCCACCTGGCGAGCCCTTGTCACCTGCAGCAGCACCGACAGCTGTGTCGTGGCGTCGGCATGACGACGTCCGCCACCGTCGGGCCCTAGTGGCCACCCCGTCGCGCCATGTGTGTCCGCGAGTGCCGCGAGTGTGTGTGTGTGTGATTACCGCCCCGAGGGAGGCGACAAAGTGCAGTGCAAAGTGAAACCCCACTAAAGGATGTTACATTTGGATTACCTTTTCATCGCTCGGACGCCTTCGCTTTACGCGCTGGACGGCTAGTCCGGAGAAATTCAGCAAGGTGAGTGTCAGAGGAGAGTCGCTGGAAACTATTTCGTGTGTCGCTCGTATGCAAATGAGGTAAACCGGAAAGGGAGGCTGTGGCGCGTTTTCCGAATGCATGCATTGGGCCGAGCCAGCCTGGCGGCTTGAAGGCCAACTGGTGAGCTCGCACGTATCCATGCACCTCCCCCCCCTCCCTCTCGCCGGTTCTTTTCGCTTGACGGGCGGTTGGAGGAGGCACGCACAGGTCATGCCCTCCGCGCGGCCAAATAATTCCGCAAAAAATACGGCGGTGTGTCAAACCGCACTCGGTTTTTGCAGGGCTGTCTACCTCGCGAGGTGCCGCCGAAAAAACGGCAGAGGGCCGCTGACGCGGCTGACGCTAGCTGGATAAAGGGGCGTTAGTTCTTTTTGCTGGGGGTCGGCCTGCGGGGCCTGCCAGGTCTGCGAGGTCCGCGCGCCTCTGGAACTCGTTGGCGCGCTGGCGAGGCGCACTCTCTCTCGCAGGCCTGGCTGGCAGGGGCCGAGCGGCGGACGGGCCGAGAGGCAGGGCAGTGACTGACCGGCCCGCCAGCCCCGCCAGCCCCGCCAGCCCCGCCGGGGATCTCCCCATCCTTGTCGCACCCACACTACCACACGCCGGCCGGCCCGGCCCGCGGGGCACACACACAGACACACAGACGTTTCTTAATTAGTCGAGTCGCATTCCGCGCGCGGTGATGCATTGGCAGTGGCGGAGCCAAGAGCAGCGCGCCCCGCCGTCACGGCGGCCATGTTGTCGGGATCAGCTGTCCGCCGAGGCTCCACCCTGCACCCTACGCCACTGGAGGATGGCGGCGCGCGGGCCGGGACTCGAACCCGGGTCCGCGCAAGGCCGCACGCCGCTACCGCGCCGAGGCCCGGCCGGCTGGGGCTGCGTGTGGGCTTTAGAAAGTTGTTGGCTTCGGCCTACTTCCACCGGGTTGGCGCCACGCCGGCAGCAGCCTGCCCGCTTGTTTGGCTGCAGCGAGACGATGAGGCGCATCTTTCCGCCAAAGTGTCAGCCGGCCCGGCCCGGCCGCGCTGCTGGAACCGACTGGAACCGTCTGGAAGGCACTGGACAGAGCCGCCGGGACCCTGGAAGCTGGGAGGGGCAGGTCGCCCGAAAGAGGAAATTTGTTCTCTCGAGTCCTTCCGACGGCGACCCGCTTCCCTCCGTTTTCGCGCACCGCCGACGTGGGAGGAAATGAGCCTCTACGACCGCCTTGTGGCGTGATTGAACGGTGTCGCCGCCTGTTTGACGAGGAGCGAGAAATTGGCGAGGGGGTCATGACCTGCTCGGCGTGACGGGGCGAGGCGGTCCTCCGTGGTGAGGGGCTCGAAGGACGAGCCAGCGCCGCCAGCGCCGGGGCCTTATCGCCCACCGAGTCGCAAACCCGAAACGTCGTTTTCGCGTCCTTGGCGGTCCTTGGCCGCCCGCGCCAAGTTCAAGGAACAGTGTCCCCCCCTCCCCTCCTTCCCTCCAGCCCGCCGTCGTCGCTTCGCTTCGCCGTCTCTCAGGCCGCTGTCTTCGCGTTTGACAGAAGGTGGCCGCGACGTTGGTGTTGATCAGAGTCACGTCCAAGGAGGCGCTGATGGAGGCGGTCCCGGACGCGTTTTGAGCTCCAGAGTCGCTAAATGGGACTCGAACCGAACGTGCGACCCCACCAATGGATTGCTCTCTGAACGAGGGATCCATTGGTGGGGCCAAACTCGGAGCAAAAGCGGAAGTGCGCGGTCCCGGCGGAAATCACGCACGTGTGGAGGGAAATATTTTTATCCTGCTCCAACAGCTGACTTCTGCGGAGAAAACTCTCTCGCACGGGACAGGGGGCCGGTATGAGGCTGGTGGTAGTGGGTCGACCACTGTAGGTGCCCTGCCCCGCCCTACGCCGCGTCCAGGATCTGATCCTGTATACGCGTTTACCTGCCCAGTGAATCTGTCTGCCTGGTAGTAACGGTTCACCTGCCGAGTCCACTCTGGATTTGAAGCAGTTTCGCCCAAGGACGGCGTAAAACGCGTAAAACGCCGCCAAGCCGCGCGCTTTCCCGGCCGATCGCGGCGCACCGTTGTTGGCAAATCGCTGCCGCACGGAATGCGCTGCCGCCTCCATTTTCAGAGCGCCCTTACGCCTCTAAAAGAACGAAACCGTTAGCAGGCTTATGCAAGCCGGCTCCGCGCGGTGTCCGCGGTGTCCCATGGCAAGGCGAGCCGCATAACTTTGGGTGCTCTTAGGGTTATGGTCTAAGACGGCGGTGCGAGTGGCTGTACTCGGCCGGTGGGGGACTGGAATAGAAGTGCCTAGGAGTGACTAGAAGCGACTAGAAACGGTTCCGTAGCCGCTTGTCAACCCTGGCAAGGCTGCCAATCCTTCCATGCAGCCCGGGTAAGGAAGGCAAAAGGCCGCGGAATGCGATCAAACGCTCACCCCTTTCCTCCGAAAACGCCATACAACACCTGCCGTCAAAAAATCCGAATCGACGGAGGAATGGCAGGCGAACTTTGGAGAAAGGTTAGGGAAATTCCCGGCGGGTTTGTGGTGAAGCAGGAGCAGCAGCGGGATGCGGGCCGTGGCGTGCCGCACTCGCTTTTGTCGAAACAAAAGCCAAACCGTTTTCTCTCTCTCTCTCCCCGCCGCAATCTGTCGCCGCGCCTTTCCCTCCGCGGGTGGTCCCGTCGAGTGCATGTCTAGGTCGCGGTGGCTGGGCGCGAACGCCGAGCGAACGCCGAGCGAACGCCGAGCGAACGCCGAGCGCGACGCGCCAACGCGTCCTCGGTCCAAATGCCTGGCGGTTGTCGTTCTCGGGGAAGCTGCAGTGCAGTGGCGACGACGCGGCCGTGGCGCAAGCGGCGTCGCGACGCCGTGACTGAACTTTCTTTCATAACGAGGAGGTTTAACGGATGAGACGCCACCGCAGTCGACTGATTCCGCGCACATCGTTCGCTCTGTCTCTCTCGCACTCTCGGGCAGGAGCGAGAGAGACAGAAGAGCGGTGGAACGGCGTGCACAGCCCTAGCCGCTCGTGACGCGGCGTTGCCGATAGCGGCGCCGCGTCTACGCTCAGGGCGTTGTGGCACGTTGTGGCGTTGTGCACGACGGCAGCGATGTGAGCGAAAAGCAACCACGCGGTGTGCGCCGGCCCGGCCCGCCGGGACCCGGCACGGCGGCGTGGCGGCGTGGTGTCCCAAGACGGCGGCGGCGCGACCGCAGGCTTCTAGAGTCGCCCTATTCGTCACGGGCCGCGCTCCGGGGCCTCTAGGGCCTCCAGGGCCTCTAGGGGTGGCGGACAGGGGCCGTTCACGAGCCACGAACCGTCCTCGAAGCCCTAAGCAAGACAATGAAACCGAACTGAAGTGAATCTCACTTTCCAAATGTTCCTCAAGTCACCGTGTGCAATTTCTAGTCCAACTAACCGACTCAATTAATGTTTGATGCAGTCTGGGGCGTGTCCCGGCAAACGAGGTATAACTGGCGAGGCACACAGCGCCGCTACACTGTTTACACTGTTTGCCTGGCAACAAGTGCAGCGACGCCGCCTGATTTCGTTTGCATGCAGCGCGCTGCGAAATCGACCCAAATGTTTACCTACGTGATCCTCCTTTGTGGCGTCCTTTCTTTTCGTGGAGGGCGCGGTGCACCCCTCGGAAGGTCCCCCCCCCTCTCTCTCTCTCTCGTCCGCTCTCTCCCTCTCTCTTTCTGGGGCGAGCAGATCGATCCCAGCATATTTCGGGGCTCATTTTCCGTGTGCTTCGCATCCCTCGACGTCAGCACAAGTTATTGGTTGCTTGGTTCCGTTCAATTCGGCCGACCCATTACGTGGGGCCGTGGGCGCTGGCTGGGCCCTATGCCCGCCTGACGGACGGACGGACGGACAGACAGACAGACAGACAGACAGACAGACAGACAGACAGACAGACAGACAGACGGACAGGGACTAGCCGCGTGCATGGACACAGTGGTACCCGCTCCGCGGGCTTCTTTGTGCGGCGTTTCGTCATCACTGCTGGTGCACTGCCAGATGCAACGTCCGCGCTGCGCGTTTCGCGCCAAAATGAAAAAGGCATGGGAAATCTTTCCATCCGAGGCGAAGCCCCGTTTGCAATGAGAAAGAGCCTTTTGCGCGATCGTGCCTCACCGGAATGGAGGTCGCGCCTTTTTTTTGTTTTTCTCGTTGGCATTTTTAATACTTTTTCGCTGTTTGTCTTATCACATCAAAGGCAGCGGGCGACTTTGACGGCGTCCCCTCGTGGCGACGCGGCGCCGCTGCGAACTGGAGCCGTCTGGGACGGGCCATTTCCTGCATCTCGGCGTTTTGGACCGAGGTGCCAACTGCCGAACACTACGACGGCGACCAATTAAAGATGTTTTTTTGGAGGTTGAGAAACGGTTTGCAGTCCAGCAAGGACTCCTCTGGCTAACCGACTGAGAGTCTTACCAGTGGTAGTCTCAGGTGAAGTTAGCCCCTGCCGGCCTATCTCTCCTCCAAGCCCCTCCCCTTATCTGAAAATTGTCGCCGGCATTCCCTCCCCTCTCTTCCCTCCCGGCCCTCCAGCCTTCCAGTCGACTGGATGTCATTTTCAGGGCCATTGCTGTCCGGATCCCCGGCGACTCCCCGATCCCCCTTGATTAGCTGGGAGCGTCCGCCGGGTCGCGGCGTCACGCCGAGCTGCTTGGTCTGCCTCTGCTTTTGTTTAGTCTGATCGCCAGAGGTTTCGGCGCGGCCATGAGTGCCGGCCAGCCAGCCACAACACGGCCGAGTGTGGCGGCCACGCCCGCCGTGCCGCGCCGCGCCTGCCGCGCCGGGTCGCGCGGCGGGGGCGTGGGTTCGAATCCTCGCGCCGAGGGACGCCGTTTCGAGAGACGGTTATCTTGTGCGTGTAAGTAGGCGCTCGGCGGCGCGGCTCGCCACGGCCGGGTCATGTAAAGTGGTCCATCAGGATCTACAAATCGGATTCGATGATCCCGAGCGCGGCCTGAGGTGGGAGGAAGTGAGAGTATA